TAGTTCCTTTTTCTATTCAAAATGTAAACTGTTTTAAAGCGTGATCAAAACAGTTAGCGTGTTAGGTTGATTCTATATGCAGTAAAGGCTGATCGCGCTGTAAGATCAAATAGTTTACGTTGAACACTGAGCTGTGTGTGTGTATATTGTTGACGGCGTTCATAGCTTAGGCAAAAGAGACTACCTAAACAGAATTGCGGCGGGCGCGAGACGAATCACAGGCGCGCTCTATAAAAAGTCTGTTTACGCGACCGCCGGATATGACCGGGCTGTGGTGCGCCACATGTGTAATGGTCATCGTTTACTTTTCTCTACAGCTCCTTACTACTTAATCGAAGCCTACAGCTGCCATGTGTTTCCGTGTTTTAAGAGTTTACATTTTATTCCCTTTAAGTAAATTTTTTAGAAATTCTAAAAATAAAGCCAGTCTTTGTGATCAATCATGCTTAAACTATAAACAAATATCTAAAATTAACTGAAAATGACAAAACGCTCATTATAATTTTATGAGGAAATTGAATAGCTGTTGAAAGGAGCTGGACTTAATATGTAGTCCAGCAATCAATCAGTAGTAGACAGAAGAAGTAATCCTTTGTAAGTTTGACGTGCTTTATTGTTAATCTAAAACAAAACAAATGAAAGTATTTTGGGTAGCCTAAATGCCGCTAGCACTTACAATCCCTCGTTACGCGCTGTTAAAGAGTGAGTCACACCATTGTAGCTGTTACCATAAATAGCAGCGAGATGTGAAGGGTGCTGTGGCAAGTCGACACATGTACGTACTAAATCATCGCTAGGCCTGGACCATCTGTGGTTGGACAATTAAAACTCAAAAGCCGAGTGTTCTTAGTTTGTTCGTAGCGAGACGCTACACTCCGTCGTGTGACTGTCGCCACAAGCACCTGTGTACAATGGCTTTCTTTTCTTTCTAAATATACCCCTCATCCCTTTGTTCCTCATTTTCTTCTCTTTATATTAAAATATAACCATCTAAGTGCCGCTATTGCTAGCGCGAGGGAGTTTAATAATCTTGTAAGTAGGTATCGTTATCTTGGCAGTAGAACAGAACCGCTTTTACGCTTCTTTAATATTTCCCAAATTATTACATTTTCTCCAATAATCCAACGTAATAGCCGTTTCATTGACAATTATATTCCCACGTGCACTTTATTACGGAACATAAACTTCTTATTAAAAATATTGAATACGAGTCATGAAATAAATCATTTGCTTAATATTTCTGTTAATGATTGTACTTTGTGCAAAAATGCCATAAAAGCTGGCGCCTTAATAAACCATTTTCGTAGTAATGTTTTTCAAGGCGCTCTTTGTAGTCCTATCGCTACAAAACCTGACTGACATCTGTCAATTTTCAACCGTTTTTCTTTCACAAAAATTCGCTGGAATTCTTTTGGCTGCCAAACCATTAAAGTATCATTAATATTTTTCGTAGATAATGGCTGATGTTTAGGTAATAGAAATCGTGAATAAACATTTTGGAGATTTCTGCTCGTTGTTTTAAATTATAATGTAGGTAGATACTTAGATGAATTTCACGGCATGTTTTATGTTGATTAATGCTAACTTGACAATGTCGTGCGTCTTCTATCGTGTGTGCTGACTGCTGTAACCGCAGTCCTGGCGTCAAACTTTATGGGCCGCTGTAGGAGGTGGGTGGACATTCTTTATCGTATTTGCGCTATCCATATTAAGGACTGACGTGGTTTGATGTGTCCTTTGAAACACGGAATCGTATTTCTTATGTACAATCATCCCAGCCTTGGAACAATAGGCTAGTTTCCTAAAAAAATTTTTTTAGTCCATCAATTTTAACATAAAAAAATATTATACACGTATATTTTTAATTGTCAATCAAACAAATAATTACAAAGTTATAGTGCGTTGAAGTTCCGCGCGACGTCACAAAGTGCTGCACTTTTACACACTCACTGACGTCACGGGCCTTTTCTTTTGAACTTTGGCACGCTTTATCTCTTTACATTTTCATTAGATTTAAAAAGCGAAAAATATGTGTCGATTAGTTTTTGATAAGCTAACTGACGGACTAATTACAACTCTTCCTTTTTTACCCAGGAAACTCAGTAAAACTCATTTATTTCTGTAAGTAGGCTTTAAAAAAAGCACTTTTACACGTCCCAGTATTAACCCTACCACTGCTTCAGGACAATAAATGGGCCAGTGCTGAGAAGAAGCAGCGCAAGAAACTCAGACACTATTGTCAGCCTCTTTTTCAAAGGTTTATAGGTTTTCAAAATACATAGTTATAAATATTTATGCGAGCTAGGCAGTTACGCATCCCAAACATTTTTATCTTTTAAATAATTCATCGACTTTATAGTAGCCCTTTTTCATTAAGGTACTTTTAATATGTGCTTTGAATTTATGAATGGGTAGTTCTACAACAGTTTGTGGTAATTTATTAAATAATTTAATACATTTCCCCATAAATGAATTCCCAATCTTATACAGTCTAAAATTTGGAACGGCAAGTTTATTTTTGTTTCTTGTATTAAAGTTATGCAAATCGCTCTTTTTCGTGAATTGCTCTATATTTTTGCGAACATATAAAAGGTTACAAAAAACATCCTTATTAGGTGATTACACAAAATTAATTCTACTCGAATCTAGGCCCACAGAGTTTGCCACGGCGGATCACGGAGTTGTTTTGGGAAATGTTTCGTATTCCGGTTGTCTTTGGTATTCGAAAGATGCGAGCTTAAAAAAGAGCAGCACTCAAGAGCAATGAGATCGGGGAAGAAAAAGGCCGCCCACCTCCGCGCCTCGCCGCGGCCCGTGATTAATAATGTCTTTGAGACACCCTCCGTCCGCCACTATTGACTGTATCGGTATTAGTATCCGACCCACCCACCTTCAAAAGGAGTCTCATGACGTTTTTGCGAACAGACCTATTGTAAATCAACACAATGAGGGTAAAATTGTGCTATTCAAAAGTAACTCTATTCATTTTATTTATGGAGAAAATGTTTCTTTTGTAGTTTTTCCACTCTGTATTTTCGATGTTTTATTGTGTTTTTCCGTTTTTATTAATACTTGAGCTTGTAAACGAACTCTGCTACTAAACGAGGTTATTATTTTCCTCCAATCTGGATATTAGTAGCCTTGTATTTTATTTTGTGATACAGACAATGCAGTGAAACATGTTAATAACATCTGCCAAGAGCTTTTTTCACTTTGGCTTCCATTAATTACTCAACGATGTGAAAGTTATTATCTCGAATTAATACTAAGTGTTACCGGTATGTTCTAATGCAATTGATTCGCTAAATTCTACACGCCAAATGATATAAATTTTATGAAATCAATAGAGCGTTTACGGAATATTTTTTATAATGTCCGCATCGGTTTATTTTACAATTGGTATGAAAACGTCGTTTTTTTTTTAATATTTGGTTGTTATTGTTATCATTATGTGTAATTAAATTCACTGTTTATTGCATCCGATTTGTAAAGCTGTTGTTATAGCAGATTAATCTAACGCCTTGTGAAAACTGAATGGGCGGGCGCGCACATAATCTTGGCCGCCCGGGCTCGCTGGCCGCCCGTGGCCGATCTAATCCCACTATCGTGCAGAAGTGCTTGGTAAGCTATTGTAAACAAACAAGATCGTTGTCTCTGTTCTGCAGTTGATGATATTATTTCTGGTTGACAATGTCGACATCCACAATTTACAATTTCCCATTAATACAACAACTTAAGATTTTCCCATTAATAGAAAGTGTTTTACACGTTTTACATTACACTGATTATGAATAGTATGATTTTTACTTTTATTGCATGAAATACTCAAACTGGAAATTGAACGTGTTTCTAGTTGCGAGTCTAAAATCAGACAAATTTCCTGAGGGAGCGACAGCAAAAGTTTTCGCTTGTTAGATTAGTCGTTATAATTTGTAGGGAAGCAATTTTATTTCTCGAGTTGGCCGTTGTTGATCCCATTGAGAAAGTTGTATTTGACCGTTTCTCGTCTATTGACTTCATTTATTGAGTAAAGCCCAATTGTGTACAATATTTCATTTAATATGAAATATTTATTGATAAAGAGGTAATTTGAAAAGTTATTGCTGGTTATAAGTAAGTAGTCCTTCGGTGATAATAGTACGGTATATATTTTTATGGAGCAGATTTTATTACGTCCGCTCTCTAGCCAAGCAGACGGCTGTAGTTGACGCAATTGCGACCAATAACCACTTCCTAATTTTCTCGTTTCCGGAGCTCCGCTGTGCACTAGTCGGGTCTAATTCACTCAATGACTAGCGACATTAACTGTACTTTTTGTTACTGTATCAATTGTACGAAATTCATATCTCGGGCGTGTTGGGTACCTACATACATACGTACAGTATATGATGGGTTAGAGACGAGAAAGGGTGAAAATTGCCAAAATCATGCGGCACACCGGCCAACGAACCATGGGGGAGAGTGTTAGAATTTATTCGCAATTTTAATTTTGTTCCCGGTGGATATATCGGGCGTAAAATAAAATCGAGCGTGCGAGTTTAATAAACGACAGTTATGTAGGTATATTTTAATAAAATATCCAAAAACGGTTTTCTATATTCTCAAATACACGAATAATTCGAAATTCTCCGAAACGGATTCAGTCACAAAATGCTTGGTAATTCAAGTTAAACCCTATTTGGCATGAGATCTGAGTAAACTAAGCTGGCAAACTAACTCCATTGAAAATACTATATTCAACTTAACCTATGCGATTGCGGTAGGTATCGTGCGAGACGGTACGGTTCGTGTTTTGGCACAAGCACTCCGCGTCAATATTTCGATTCGCAGCCCAGTAACGTCAAATATATAATCGGACGTATTTATCGCGACAGAATTAGCCATAAAACTAGTCGTCGCCCCTGAGACGCGCCTGTCCTGAATTCCTATTGTTTAATTGTCACATTTAATTATTTCGTTTGTGATATCTGTTCTGATGTATGGTTGTATGTTATTTTCAGCACATGGTGGGGACGGGCATGGCGGCCCCGTTTCCCGCGGCGGCGGCGGCGGCGGCGGCGGCCGCGCAGTTCGCGGCCAACGGAGACCTGGCGGGCGTGAAGGCGGAGGCCGGCGGGCCCGCGGCGCCCCCGCAGCCTCCGCTCGTCAAGAGCGAGGGCCCGCCGCCACCGGCGCCCTTACCGCCAGCAGCATTCTCACCACAACCACCTCCACAACCCCACCAGCCAAATTCAATAGATCAAAATACTAGTTCGGTAAGATCCATTTTTAATATTCAAAGAGTCTGTAAATACTCCCAACCAACTAAGCAAATAATAAAGGGTCACGAGTGAATCTAGTGAAAAACATTAGATATTAGCACAGTAATGTATCCTGTGCCTAACGTTACAAAACGACTCTCGTTTTGTGTAGCGCAAAATGTAGTATTAAATATTTCCCTCACTCGGAAGGTCAAATCGTCCCTCCCAAGTATCTTATTAAAAAAGTTGTTGGTTTTTCGGTATAAAAGGCCTGCGTAATTTTGTTTTCCTTTTCACAGTTGATAAAGCAAAACAAATAAAGGCCGACAAAGATCCGTAAAATTAAAAAATATTAACTGTCATCTGCACATAGGTAACTCAAGCTTTGGAGCCGTTGGCATAATTTCACATTCATTTTAAATTAATGTTATTTGAAGATGTACCCACATTTTTTATGTTTCATGACAGATGTCCCTTCCCCCCGGNTATTTCTGAACTTTAGTTTAGTAAAAGATTCAGAATCTCAAATCGCTTATTTTAAAAATAAAACCATAATTAGAAAACGAATAGAGGTAACTTTGGGAATTTATTCTATCGAGTCAACTTCATCAAATCGTGTTTCCATCCGTTAATAGCCCTAGAAAATATCCTCAACTATGCCCAAAAAAAATCTTAGCCTTTTATTTTACTGTTTAGTACCTCAAAAATGAAAAATGAAAACCTCATTTTCGCCATTTTCTCTGTTACCCGGCCTTAAGCAAGCATCGTTTGTGAATACGGGTGTAAGCAAAGTTGTACAGTAGCCATGTGGTTCCGGCAGAGTAGAATAGGACCTCCCACTCGGTGGACTGACGACCTGGTGAAAGTCGCGGGAAGCACCTGGATGCGCACCGCAGGAACGGTTGGGTTGGGACGGTTCAGTATAGGTCATCTATATGCTCTATTACGTCCTAATATGTCAATGTCACCCATCCCGTGCCACTGTCACCTTGCCTCAGGCACTGACTCAGTCAAGCGCTAAAGTCCGGTCGCCGAGCAGAAGAATTTCGTACAATGACCCCAGCACACTCACTGCGGCCGCCCGTCGCACAGTCGCGACAGCAACGCGCGCGAGCGATAAGGATGGATAGCTTGGGGTCATTGTACGATATTCTATCTGCTCGGCGACCGGACTTTAGACCTATAATAAAGAATTAAAATTAAAATAATAGACTGCTTACCTCAGGCAGTCTCCTGCCGGGTACAGCGGGGAAGTCATGGTGCTCGTTATGGTACCCCACGTTGAATGTGATCCAGTTGAGGGGTCCGTAGTACGAATACGTCTCGAAACCCTTCTTAAACATGTAATGCTCGGATATGAAGTGACCTGGAAGGAAACATTTTATTTATCTTTTTCTCTTCTTTTATCTTTTCTTAAAGGTTATTAAAACCTTTGTTTGTCACCTGTCATCCGCTTTGCAATGGAGGGAAGTCTGACCTTAACTTCGAACTCCTCCTATGTTCTTCTGATTAATTTCGTTGCGGGTCCAAATGACAGTTTAACTTTCCCAGGACATACTTGACCTTCACTGGTCGGGTTATTGGCGGTCAAGCTGTAGATCCTGGCTACACAGGAGTTGCAGCGGTGGGAACGAGGAGGGAAAAGTCCAGTTTATTTATTTAACAAAGTTTCAACAATATTAAAGGATTTGTCACACTGGATCATGCCCGCATGGTCAAATCGCATCAATACAAAATGTACAGAGACCGACAATGTTTCTTACATGATGCGAGCTGCGTTCACTTTGACCTAACCGCATAACATAAAACGCACGCATAGACAACTCCTAAAGTCCTTTTTCTTCGTCAGGAAATGCATGAAATTGCACCCTCTACTGTCAAAGTATGTAATACTAGCTTCGCCCGCGGCTTCTCCCGCGTGAAATTCATTTTGTCACAGATCGTCATAAATTATAGTCTGGGTTATAAACAATATAGCCCTTCCCCCCGGACTGCCAAAGAGTGCACACGTATTTTTGGTTACCGCGTTAAAATGTAAAAATAAAATGATTTAATCAATGTCATAAATTATCACACGAAAATAGGAGTGCAGAAGTTCATAGGAGTCATCAATCGCCGACTACACACGCACACAACGGGAGCGGCGCTGTTTCACACCAACGCATTGATAACAAGTACGTACCATCTGTGAGAGAATCTTCTGTCTACTTGTACACTCCCGTCACGAACGAAAGCGGAAACGAGACAACACAAAATTTATCACCTCAGTCCAACAAGCTAGTAAGCGAGAAAACAAACACGGAGGGATCAACTTATACTGGACGGAAAACGATTTTGTACCAAAGCGTCGATTGCCACCATTTTAACCTGACCCCTCTTCTATTAAGTGTAGGCGCACGGCTCCACTTGCTTTCTGTTAGCCTGGTACTTTGAATGACTGATCTCGGACTGTCGCATAGTGATGTGACCTGTCTTAGTGCGGCTATACTCGAGTCTAAGAACAAAGTGAGTCTAAAAAGAACAAAACCTACAATATTTTTACTGAATAAAACCGACTACTGCAATTGAATAAAATGCCTAATATGCTTAGATCACCGCCCCGCGATACTTCACTCACAGCCTCAAACCCTGAACTTGTTTCCTGTAATATAACACAGAGAGAACACAAGCGGCGTCGGTTAAGTAAGGACGAAAGGGAAGCACAAGAACAGGAAATGGAAGTAAACCCTGTGGTCGCAATCCATGACCTCAAAACAATGATGGAAACTTTTATGAACAGTCAAAACTCAAGGTTGGAAAACATAGAAAAAAAACTTGCTCAAGTTACAACACAGAACGATACAATTCAGCGCACAAACACAGAAATAGAGAAATCAATTAATTTTGTTTCTACAAGAATTGATAGCTTACAGATTGAAGTTTCTAAGATAGAAAAAAATCGCAAAGCACTCGAAGCTCAAATAAACACAGTGGACACGAAGTGTGAGACTTTAGAAAAAAATATACGCAAAACTTGTATAGAAATTCGAAATGTCCCCAAAGTTAAAGGGGAGAAAAAGGAACAATTATTCAAATATATACAAGAGCTGACATCGAACATCAATATAGATCTTGATTTATGCAACTTACGTGATGTCCACCGCTTGCCTAGCAGGGCAGAGGCAACCTCCGCAACCTTAATAGCGGAGTTTGGAAGTACTTTGACAAAGAGTCACGTGCTAGACGCGGTGAAGCGCTACATTAAAGACAACCCCAAGGACCAACTCAACTCTAATCATATGGGAATAATGCATACGAAATCACCTATATATATCAGCGAATACTTATCGAACAAATCAAAGAAACTTTTCTACTTGGCAAGAGAGGTTGCTAAAACCCTGGGATATTCGTATTGTTGGACTTCTAACGATAATGTTTACCTGCGGCGCAAAGACNATACGTTCACGCGTTCTTGAGATAAAGGGTCTTGACAGACGGACGGACAGACGGACAACAAAGTGATCCTATAAGGGTTCCGTTTTTTCCTTTTGAGGTACGGAACCCTAAAAACGGTCTGAACACTAAAATTTGAATAGTATTTTATCAAGAATCGGTTCTAAGAGGGGTGATTATGCGCAGCTAACAAAACGAACAAAAACAATTGATTTCTTAATTAAACAATTGTTCCATTCCGCACGGACCTGCATTGTAACCGCAACTCCCAATCAAACCCAAAGCGAACAAACTAAAGACGTAACGCATAAATTAAAAGGAATTAAACAAACTTTCCAAAGAGGTGAGCTCTTTTGAGGAATTGTTCGTCCAACCTTACGAACCGCGACAAACTTCCTACAGGCCATATTGAATCATGACAAGACATAAACCCAAAGGGATACGGGGCAAAATCGCTAGCACGACGAATGGAAGATCGGAATTCGGCGAGTTCATGCTAATGTATAGTTCCCATCGGAAAGATTCGGGCTTCGACTGAATTGGATACCGAGTCATTAGAATATTTATTAGGCAGGGGAATTGAAGGTTTCTGGTTTGGTTTGTTAGCATCGGGGGCTCTTGTAAACAACACCAAGCTTACCTCTGGCTTGAGGGCTCATTTAATTAGTGTATTTATTGGGAGTTCCATTGGTAGTTGGGCAACTTTGCCCATTAAATCTGTTTAAGTGACCTTACCGGGAGTATATTCCGGTGATCTGGGGCAATAGGGTTCAATGCCGAGGTGTAAATGGAAGTTTAGAAAGTTACAAAATGAATAATAGCAGTCGGAAATTTTAACGATTGATATTCGATTGAAGGGGTAAAAAGGTTACAATTAATTTTTACGGCGATGATTTTATGGCCTATAGAAGGCTTTTGACTGAGTCGGTTTTTGTTACCTACTGGAAAAAATATTCACATTGAACAATTGGACATGAAAACGCGAAGAAAACACAATAACAAACATATTATTACAATTTATAACGTTTCAAGTTTGAAGTCCAAGCAAGAAACGCTTGTAACAAAGAAAGTGAATATTAAATAGAACAAACTCGAAAATACTTTGACAAAGGTATCCCTTTGAATGTTTATTTTGAAAATAGCAAAATGATAAATAACAAAAATAATACAGCCATTTACACCCGCGAACACGCCACAAACGCTCCAATACATTACGCTTGCTACAGTAACAAAGGAAATGCACCTCCATTTTGAGCACTAAAAACCTCCAAAATGGCCGACGACGATAAATTTGAAGACGCTGGCGTAGGCAAAATAGATGAGCAAAGCAAATTCTTCAAACAGCACATCAATTTTTTTTGCTATTTTTTATGCAATTACCCAAGTGGTTTTTAAATCGTTCGTTCTTTCGTTTCATCCAAATGAGGCCTTCCCCAAGATTTTCAAAATGGCCAGTCTTACGCTGTCTGCATCCAGATTCTTCCCGTGACCTTCACCTGCCCATGCTACGTCTTCTGGCCCAACGTCTCTTTTCTGTCCCAACGGCCATCTGCTCTACGAGCTATGTGCTTCGCCCACTACCA